CTCTCTCTCTCTCTCTCTCTCTCTCTCTCTCTCTCTCTCTCTCTCTCTCGCCCTCTCTCTCTCTCTCTCGCCCTCTCTCTCTCTCTCTCTCTCTCTCTCTCTCTCTCTCTCTCTCTCTCTCTCTCTCTCTCTCGCCCTCTCTCTCTCTCTCTCTCTCTCTCTCTCTGTCATTCTCGCTCTCCCCCTCTCTCTCTCTCTCTCTCTCTCTCTCTCTCGCCCTCTCTCTCTCTGTCTCTCTCTCTCTCTCTGTCATTCTCGCTCTCCCCCTCTCTCTCTCTCTCTCACTCTCTCTGCAATAAAAAAATATGTTTGGTGAAATGATGTGTACGCAACTGCGTATCTGCGTTATGGTAGCTACGCGCCTGATTGCTATATATGTATGGGTGGGCATAGCTCTAGTACTATAGCCCGCGTACATTGACGCCTGCGGCAGTCAATGTACGCGGGCTATAGTACTAGAGCTAGGGTGGGCACTGCTGGTATGAGGCAGCGACAGCAAAACTTTCCCGGAATCGAGGAAAAAGCTGCAATCGGGAATGACGCGAGTGTGCCGGCACGCAAAAAGAAACGTTGCGTGAATTTCATTACGATTTTCCATGTATATAGTCAGAAGCACGTGGTGATCTATTTATTTTTGGATTGACACTATTTTGGCAACGGCGGGTAAATACAGGAACATTTTCACAACGGCGGGTAAATACAGGAACATTTTCACAACGGCATTGTTAAATTTGACAACGGCGGTGCGCCGCAGTGCCTCCTATATAGAAGAAACCCTGATAACTTATTAAGAGATTTAAAAAAGGTCAGCATTGGGCACGCGTTCCTGGAAATGTGTAACAGTACAGCACAACAATCTCATCCGCCGACTGTATAATGATCAGCAGAGGCAACTGCTTTTGGCATTGTTGTTGTTCATCTCGTCATATATGTCACATGACTCTCTCGGTCTTCGATACTAAGACCCTTAGTCTAACTTGGTTTAGACTGATATTTATTTATGAGGTTATTGTCCTGGGGCAGTGGGCTGTAGCACTAGGCTATAGAAATCCAAAACTTGTGTGTTAACCAGAATAAATTTTAATAACTGCTCGCACATAGTGTGTCCATCTTGCACAAAGACAACGCAACGCGCACAATCCGCGTACTATTTCGTATCACTATTTTATCAAATTTTTCATGAAATAACGGTCGAATTTTTAATATCTTTGCAACTTTTATACACAACAGTTATACATTCTCCGGCGGTCATATATGCGCCGTTCAGCAATATAAGTCTAACTACGTGTGACAAATGTCATCCAAATCTATCATATTGAGGAAGTTGGTGATTGTGTGCACAACATCGGGTTACATGAAGAACTTCAGGCAAAACAACGTCGCCGACATCTTCAACATGACGGCTGTCGACAGTTCCCTTCAACACGACGTAGGAACTGTTGTCATGACGTTCTGTAGCAGCATAGAGCAGAGCAATACGCAGAGGAATCAGTTCGATGTTACGAATAGCCACATAATGCGCATACTCTCTCGTACAACATCCTCATCCATTTCTTCATGCAATCATGGTGCGATCTCATAGCTGCCAGCGCTGCATACTG